AATAATCAAACGGTTGTTTAATCAATGGCTTCAGGGTGAAAGTGTGTCCTACAATATCCCCTGTGTCCAAAGTTATGCTAAATTATTAAATCACCTTCAGGCAGAGGAAGACTTCCTTTAAAAACAGTTAAGCATGTTCACTCTCTGTTAGCCCAGAACTGAAACCATTCCCGAAGCCAACTCTTCAGACATACATTAAACTGGACTATAAGACATAAAATGATACTCGTGAAGAGAGTGCTTCTTACCTCAAGCAGATACGTGAGACTAAATGGGCACCTCCTGTCTGGAGGCAAGATGAGAAGGCAGAAACGGACAGGAGCTGGTTGAATGGACACAGGAAATCCCGGGTGGAAAGGAGGAGTGTGCTGTCACATTATACGGAGATCAACTAGGGTCACATAACAACGTGTGTATAAATTTTTGTATGAGAAACTAACTCTAACTGTAAACTTTCACTTAAAGCACAATTAAAAAAAAAAAAAGAGTAGGTGTGTATGTATTCTTACCAGTGCTAACCTGAAATAAATCCAAGCAATCAGTGAGCACCAAAAAAAAAAACAAAAAAAAAAAACAGTAAAGCATGTTCAAATGTATGTGCAATATATATTCCAATGGCAAACTGGAATTCCGCGTGCTGGGTTTAGGGATTCTGCTAAAATATACTGAGAATCTTTACTGAGTTTTCAGGGGAAAAATTGTGAAAAGATAGAAATTTCCCAGTATGAAGTTTCCTCCTCTATCATTTTGATGGAGGTAGGAAAGGGGATGGTTGTGCAATGGAAAAGGATTCTATGGAAAAAGAAAGTATGAGAAGTATATAGAAAGGAAAGTGGCAGACATTAATTGAACAATTATTATGTATGGATTTTGTGCTAACCCTTAATCCTTGCAAAGCCTGTATTATTATTATCCCCATTTTACAGATAAAGAGAAACATAGAGAGAATGGATAACTTGGTCACTGTCATGGATTGAATTGTGTCCCCCGAAGATATGTGTTAGCGTGGCTAGGGCATGATTCCCAGTATTATGTGGTTGTCCTCCATTTTGTGATCTGATGTAATTATCCTCCATTTTGTGACGTGTTCTAAATCCTAACCTCTATAGGTTAATGAGGCAGGATCAATGTGGGATGTATCTTGAGTCACAGTCTTACTCAAGCCACACCCTTACTGAAGTCACACTCATGCTTGAGTCATATCTTTTATCTTACAAGAGATAAAAGGAGAGAGAAGCAAGCAGAGAGGGGAGGGACCTCACTACCACCAAGAAAGAGCATGTCCTTTGGACCTAGCCTCCACGCACTGAGAACCTCCTAGACGCAGGGGAAGACTGATGCCAAGACACATGGAGAACTCCAAGGAACGCCAGGTCCACAGATGTTGAAAGGAGACAAGGACTTTCCACCAGAGCCGACTGAGAGAGAAAGCCTTCCCTTAGAGCTGGTACCCTGAATTCAGACCTCTAGCCTCTTAAACTTTGAGAGAATAAACTTCTGTTTGTTAAAGCCATCCACTTGTGGTATTTCTGTTATAAAAGCACTAGATAACTAAGCCAGAATTTGGTACCGCAAGAGTGGGGTGCTACTCTGATGTTATTGTTGTTAGATGCTGTCAAGTCAGTTCTGACTCATAGCTACCTTATGTACAATAGAACGAAACACTGCCGGGTCCTGTGCTATCCTCACAATCGTTGTTATGCTTGAGCCCATTGTTGCAGCCACTGTGTCAATCCGTCTAATTGAGGGTCTTCCTCTTTTTCACTGACCCTCTACTTTACCAAGCATGATGTCCTTCTCCAGGGACTGATTCCTCCTGATAACATGTCCAAAATATGTGAGACATAGTCTCGCAATCCTTGCTTCTAAGGAGCACTCTGGTTGTACCTCTTCCAAGACAGATTCGTTTGTTCTTTTGGAAGTCCACGGTATATTCAATATTCTTCACCAACACCACAATTCAAAGACATCAATTCCTCTTCAGTCCTCCTTATTCATTGTCCAGCTTTTGCAT